CATATATATATATGCATATATATATATATATATATATATATTTTTAATTTCCAGTTGGGTGAAAATCCTCCTCTGCCTTAGAGCTAAGATTCCAGTTGTGGTCCCCTGCAGCTCGACATCCTCCACAGAATGGTCAATGGCCAGTAAGAAAAACCCCATTGTGGTCATATTTTCCTATGATCCATAGCTGGATCTATGCCTTGTCAAAAGCCTTTGAATCCTTAAAAATTCCTCTCATTCAAAAGCTAATAATCATTCCAGGGAATGGTGAACTGTCTTCATTGTCACTTCCTACAGAGGACACAAGCCTTAAACCCCAAATTAAATGCAGAGTACTGGCCCACAGGAGCTTCCATCTCTCAGTTCAAGACACAAGAGGCAAAGTTACAAAAGTAAAAGGTTTGGTCCAGGAATAACAAATATCCAGTTTTAATTCTTCCCCAGAAAGGCCACAATTATCCATTAAGGGTCCCCCCTAAAACAGTAAAAATCCCAGGAGTAAAGAAAAAGTCCAACCAGACTGCTCAAGGCCACTGGTAGATGAGAGCATTTAGTAATAGCTGCCCAAGTGTGGCGTGACGTGGGCGTTGGGGTGGCGGGGCACGTTGGGGTTGGGGTAAATGCTTCCTGCAGGGGAGGTCCAATAGGGGGAGGCCGCTCCAAAGAAACTGGATGATGTGACAGGCATGGAGGAGGGGTGTGGGGGCACAAAGTTCACCTTCTGCTGGTGGGCATGATAGGACGGCATGTAGGGCAGATCTGACGGGTACTTGTACATGGAGGACTCGGTGGGGTGGGGCTGCAGGGCCTGGGCAATGCCGTGAAAGTCAAATTTGTAGGCATACCTCTTGCCATGCACTTTGGTCATAATGTTCTTGTCGTAGTAGTATCGCAGCGCCCGGCTCAGCTTGTCGTAATTCATGTTGGGTTTGCTTTTCCTCTCGCCCCAGCGCCGCGCCACCTCGTCAGGGTCCGTCATCTTGAACTCGCCGTTGGTGCCCTCCCAGGTGATGCAGCTGGCGTTGGAGCTGTCCGACAGCAGCTCCAGCAGGAACTGCCACAGCTGGATCTGCCCGCTCCCTGCAGACATCAGCCAAGGGGAAAGGAAATGACTCGGGGCTTCCTGCTCCATGGCACAGACAAAGGCAGGAAACAGAAGGACTATCTCGATCTCAACTGGGAACTGCTCCTTCAGGCCTTGGAAAGGCGGCCCTAGGAGTGGATAAACTGTTCCCAGCAAACAAGTTACTCAGACCTTTGTTCTGGGCCTGGGCCTGAGGTCACATTACATTTCATAATGGTTGCCTTTGGCCTTAAAATCCTTGGGCTATTCATAAACAAGGCTTTCTGTGAGGACACTGCTCTGTGGAGTTTTCACTGACCGGTTAGCACAGTGTACTTCACCCATCCACTGCTCACTGTTTGCCATGGAGATTGTTTTGGATACCTCCAGCTCTCTTTCCAGGGTGATCTGAGCTACACGGAATGATTTGTTCCCCAGATGACTCCTGGTTTTACTCAGTATAGTTGTACAAGTAGTTAAGGGTAAGTTAAGAGCTTTAGGAGGATATTTCCTTACAGGCATTCCATGTGAACAAGTTTGGTTAGTTCAAGCAGGATGTGCTCCAGAGCTTACTCCCTAAAATCAGGAATTATTTACTGCAGATGATGTTCTAGGGACAGTTACACTGTGACTTACAGAGATGTTTTGTGCCTTTCTTCTTGTAACCCACAGCAGGCAGTGGAAAATTAATCTGTACTGCAAATCTGAGAGACCAGCACTAAAATTCCCTATAAAACTCTTAGAGAATACTGGGTTTGGGTCAGAACATCCAGGATGGTGATTTTGTCCCCACAGAGATGATGTTGCATCACTTGCCTCCCTATTCTGTAAGGATTTTGGCAAAAGCCCTTGTGAGGTCACAGCTACCGAGTTCTGTGGCTCTCACAGGTCCCCCCAAGGGTGCAGGGACAGCAGCTGCTCCCGCAGCCCAAGCTGAGCAGTAGCTCCAAAGGAAAATTCACTTCTTTGAGAAGGGGGTCTGAAATACAAAATGAACTCACCTGGATTGGCAAGACGGCTGCTGGTGGGCCCCAGGATTTGGTAGGGATCTAAAAATTAAGTAAAAAATCAAAAAATCAAAAAATCACCCAATGAAATTTAAAGGATGTTTTAACAAAATGATCAAAAAGAAACTCCAGGACATTATGTTTGTTCTAGAAATCAAATTTTCATTTTCTTTCTTTATTCTTTTTGCCTATTCTCCCAGGGCCTGGAAGGGCTCCTTCTTTATTAGCAAACAACCACCAAGTATTTCGGCACAGCCAGAGTTCCTGGCACTGCTCTCAGACCTGCCTGCTTTTGCAGTCTGGGATCTCCTTGGACATACCCTGCACTGTGTGGCAACCAGAAAACATCAAATGTGGAAAAAAATCTGTGGGATAGAACAGCCACAAAGCAGGAGCAAATGTATTTCTCCTAACAAAAAAGAGCTAAATAAAAAGGAGAGCAGATGAGATTTTCATTTAGCTCTTTTTTGTTAG